GTGTGAGTGTGTGAGTGTGCGCGCGCGTGCGAGGGGGATGGGGTGGAGGGAGGTGGGGGGAAAGTTGAGACCCGAGCGTTCGCTGTAGTTTCTCTTTTCTCGGAGATCCATTCATTTCTCGTTCTACCTCCTGTTGCATAAAATGATGCGCTGAGGAGCGGCTGTTCCCCGTCCCCCCCGCCCCCCTGCCCGGATTTGGTCTTAGGCTGGATGGATGTTACCAGTTTGTCTCTCTGGAAATACAGTATCGCCTTCTCCCCACTCCCCCTTGCTATTGCTGCCTCTTCCATCTGAAAAAAAAAAAAAAAAAAAAAACAACCAAAAAAAAAAAAACCCAACCAAAAAAACAACCAACCCAACCAAACCCAAAACAACTCTACCCCTCCCGTCCCTCCCTCCTTTCCACCTTAATCCCACCCGCCCCCCACCCCCAAGCCCCCAGTCTCCAAAAATCCGATCGTGTTTCCTCCGAGGATTGGGACTGGATTTTCTGATTGCGGTTATTTCCATGTTTCTAGGTTTGTGTGATTTTGCTAAAATGCATCACCAACAGCGAATGGCTGCCTTAGGGACGGACAAAGAGCTGAGTGATTTACTGGATTTCAGCGCGGTAAGAAAGACCGGTGGAAACTAACAACAGCTGTGAAAAAAATAAAACCCACCCCCAACCCCGGACGCCTAAAATCCTTGTGCTGGTAGCCAGTTGTGATCGGAAAGGGCAGGGATAATTTTTAATTGGCCGATTCCTTGGTAAATATGAAGGTCTTTTTGACAAGTTCTTAACTCTCGTTTTGGGGTGTGATGGAAGACTGGAAGCCTTTTTTCTTTCTGACCCTCCTCCCCAGCCCTAAGTACTTGCCTTAAACGCCCTCCCCACTGACCCCCGCCCCCCCTCCGCCCCCCTAATCGTGAACTCTTACCCCGCTGGAAAGGAAAAACAGACACCTTTCAAACTAAACCTCCCTCAAACTTGGCCATATCTGAACACCCAAAATACTAGGACTTTGTGCACTCCTCGTTTGTTTTATTTATTATTAGTATTTTTGGAAATGGAAAGCCAAAAATATGAGCCCCAGTTGTCTCTAGAAAAGTTTGAAACTGTTGATGTTTTGGCCCAGAAGGACCTGTAGTCACACCTATTCCTGGGATTATTTAGAGCTCCATGGATATGGCCAACATGCATTCTTCTGAGCCCTTTGGGCGGTTTTTGGAAATCTCCTAGGAGCTGTGCAGTTAGCACACAGCAGATTTTACACACTTGTGGCGTGTTATGGCTGCACTTGGTCTTTCTCCATACCTTCACTTCCCTTTCCCAAACCAAGTCCCCATGCCTGTCAGGGGAGTAAATTCATTTTTAATGCCAGATCTGGGTGGTGTCAGCTGCATTTGCAAAGCAAAAAGCAGCAGCCACAACGCACACAGAATCCAGACCGCCTTCCGAGTGGGGTCTTTCCTGCTGCCGCTGCTGCTCTTGTAAACCTGCCTTTGGAGAAATGGCTTTGGGAAGTTTTGCCAGGAAACGTAGCCCTAGGCAGCTCTGCAGCCCCTTCTCTGCTTGCTGTATTCGTTCCTTTGCTTTTTGCAGACTCTGACTCAGGCAAGGTGCGCATTATCCACCAGATACGTTGAAGACGAGGGAGACCAATTAGGGCCGAAATAAATGCTGGAGAGAGAGAGAGTGAAAAGAGAGAGTGAGAGAGTGAGAGAGAGAGATTGACTTGCTTCTTTTTGCTCTCATGTTAGAGACGAGATGAGAATTTAGTGCAGGTGGCACTTTTGTTTTTATTTGGGGTCACCCATGACAGGCAAATCCTATACAAGATGGAAATGGACATTGCCAAGTTTATGGCCAAGGTTTTCAGTATAAAACAATCAACTTTTTCTTCTCCTTTGTACAACTTGTGTTCTCTAGGGAGGCTGCTGCCCTGCGGTCTGGATCTTGATAACATTATGGGGACTGTGTGTAGTAGCAGTGCCTGCCAGTTTAATGAGCCTTATTTGGGGGGTGGTGGCGTGATATTAGGTGGGGGGTGATTGGTAATGTTGTGCCTGTTTTAGTTTTAAGTTGGTGGGTAATATGTTTTACTGAATAAACCCTTTGCATAGATTTTTGGGTCATTTGGTAAGAGTGTGAAAGATCTTAGATTCTCAAAGAACAAATGTCTTCCCCCCCTCCTTTTCTTTCAACAGTAATGTTTCTTTGTTTCTTTTAGATGTTTTCACCTCCTGTGAGCAGTGGGAAAAATGGACCAACTTCTTTGGCAAGTGGACATTTTACTGGCTCAAGTATGTAAATTCTTTTCTTAGTGTGTAGCTAAATGTTCTTGGCTGTTTATTCACTCACCATATATTTTTGGCTCTGTTGACGTGTTCTGTAAAAGTCATTGAAATTTTAACCTAATGATACGGTTAATTCATTATCCATTAGTAGAATAACAGAAAATAGTATCTTTTGTAAAATTAAGATCTGTCCAACTCCTTTTTTATAATCAGAGAAAAAGGTTTTAGAATTCCATCACTTAATATGAAAGCCAATTTCTAATGTAGTTGTAATGTGACTCAGAGATAAAGCTAGTGTTAACACATGGAGCATGAATTAATGTTCTTTTAGAAGATGGGGGTGTAGATCTAACTTTCATGAAAATGGAGAATCCTCTAAATAATATCTGTTGTTAGGTCCTGCATACAATTAACCCTCATGAAGATACAAGCACTTAATTTTGTCTCTGAATGCTCCGAAGTAAAATCTAGCTGTAAATAGCCTCTTGCTAATCTGAGGGGCTGAGTAAGAATTAATTTATATGTAACATTTCCGTTTTGCTGTTTTTAACTGTTTATTTTCTCTAATCATTTACTTATGCAATACATTTTTTTGGTCTTCTGAAAGTTAAACATTTGGTAGGACTTTGCTGTTTCATAAATTGAAGACCTTTGGATAATGCATAACAAGAATCTTAGCGCTGCTTACAAAGGAATCTGTTCACAATGATTATCTGGCATCTGAGGAGGAGTTTTACTAGGGGACTGTTTAAATGTCTGGGTGGACTTCTTATTAAAATAAAAACTGAAAACGTACATTTAAGTTGTTGTAATTATTGTTATTTTTGTCCAGTGAATTTGCTCTAAGAAGGAATCTTAATACTGTTACCTTCTGCCCTTGAGGCTCAAAGCTTATAGCCATTATGTTTGTTAAAGAGCTGTAGAGTTTTTGGACTTCTGGCAGTGGTACCTAACAGTCCATTAGACACAGGACTATTCTTCAGTCAAGAGTGGTAGATGTTGACATCTTTTAGCTGTGAGATGCCAGTGGGATTATCTCTTAGCTATTCACTGTAATTTCCCATCTCTTCATTTTCACTTCATGTCACAATGAGAGAAATCAGTTCACCTAGGTGATTTGTGTATTTGGTGTGTTTTTGTCAAATTAGTGGCTTTAAAATGTTAACTCATTTCAAAATGAGAGGATTTTTGTCCATAACTTATATAATGAGTGATCTCTTATGTTTTTATTTATTTATTTATTATTATTTTTTTTTTTTGGTTGCCACTGTACTTGAAAGAACTATTGACCAATTATGTTTGTCTTAATTGGACCTTGGACCCTGCTAATTTTCCATTTAGGGGTTTTAAGAAAAAAAAAATTCCTTGTCTTCTTATTGTGTCTTGTAAATTTTATGTAATGTGTTTTTTACACAGTTTTAAAGATAGAAGATATTACTGTATGAGATATAAAAAGAAATGTCTGGTAGACAAATTCATTTTTCACTTTAAATGCTATCAAATAAAAACTTACCTCATCTCTAACAGTAATTTTCTCCATGATTTTACTTAAAAAATTTGTAATTCAGTTGAAATATCAAAGTGGCCTATATTAGAAATAAACTTCAAAATCAGTGCAAAACACTCTTTTGCACTGTTATCAAAACTTACTCCTTTGAGATAAGTATATCAGTTTAAATAGGGCTTAAAAAATTAAGGTAAAAAGATAACCACACTTCTGGAGTTTTAAAATGTTCATATTTAAATAAAGTCCTTGCTGTAATGTTTCAGTGTTCACAAAGTGTATATTGTACAATAGATGTAGGTTAGAAGTTGATCAATAAAGTCTATCAGTGAATTTTTTTAAGTGTCCATGTATTGAAATTTACAGTTATTATAATTACCATGTATGCACACGCATAGTTCAGCTTAAAGTGAGATGTCATCTTTAGTGACACATGTAAAGATATTTCTAATGAATATGCAGTGTTTCTTTTAAGGGATTGAACTCTGTTACATTGTGTGAGAGGTATGGTTTTTCAGGGTTATGTGTTCACTTGTGAGGGTCAGAAATGTGGTTGTTTTGTGTTGGTGATTTTTGTTGGATTGTTTTGGGTGTGCATCAAATGTAGTGTATTTGGGACTGTTATGGCACAGACTGAAGTGATAGTTTCCTCTATTTTTCCCCCCAGACATTTGAACATAGAGTTATTAGTGTAGAAAATAACTTCTATTTCCACTCAGTAACTTTTTTAAGAAAAAAATCAGGAAAATAACATGCTGCCTTTTAAATAAAGATGAATTGAGAAACTTTGGACAGAAAGAGAATTTTCTAAGTGTACTTCAACTTGATATTCATTGTCCTCAGTGGTCTTAGATGTTACTTTCCTGGGTAGGTTTGAAACTTGGATGCAAGTGAAAAAGATTCAGAGTCTAAGGAGAGCATTCCTGTTTGCAGAATCAAGTCTATGGTTTTGGTGTGGTTTTTTGGTTTTGTTTTCTGTTTGTTTCTCTAATGAAGCATGACAATATTTCATACTTAAAGTTCCCGGTAGCTTTTATCCCATTAATACAGGATGCGCCATCGTGATTTGCAGTGTGAGAATGAAAATAAAGTGTGGCTCTGTTCCCTTTAATCTTTCATTTCACAAACACGGCTTTTTCTACCACCTTAAGAAAGTGAGGCTGAGAGGGGGAATGGAATGTAACCTGAGCTTCAGCCTGACAGTCCCGGGGAGCATTTTTCACATGAAAGGCTTTTGTCAACCCTGGAAAGGACCAGCAGTTTTTGTTTGATGTTTGCAGGTGTTCAGCAGAGAGCACTAAACCAGCCCCGCCATGATGGCTCAGAGCGCCAGTGACCTTAACAGGGAGAGTCGGTGGGCTCTGGAATAATTTTTCAGAACTCATCTGAACCTGTATGATGATTTAGACAAAGGGCTTTGGTACCCGTTACATCATTGACCTTTTTTTTTTAAAAAAAATGAATAAAAGTATCCCCATGTCTTGGAGGATAGGACAGTTATTCTCTTTAAAAAGTGGCATGACAGAGTCACTGAGAGAAAAAAGAAACACACACAACAAAACTACTTATCCAAGCTGTCAGTAATTTATTGATGAGTAAGGGGCTTAATTTCCTGATAAAACTAAAAAGCGTTGCTTCTTTGGTTCCCTTTAAGTCATTTGATTGTGACAGGGATGCATATTAGCTTAGCATCTTTTGGAAGAGTTTTAAAGTTTGGTCCCTAACTTGTTAGATAATGAGACACTGCGTGCATGTGTTACATGTATTTACAGTTAGTCTTTGAAGGATACTGTATCTTCCTCCTTTAGTTTAAAAGTTGAGCTTATTTTCCTCTATTTAGTTCTGCTTAGGTGTTTAGCGGGGTGTTTTTTTTTTTTTTATTTGTAATGATTGCCCAGTTGAATGGGTGTCTGAACAAAGATGAGAAGCAGCAAAACTCACCACATACTCAGAGCTGGTCATTTTTGTAGGAATGAAAACATGTCTTGATGTTCATAGAAGTTGCTTAAGCTCTATCCAGAGGATGCTAAAACCACACACCAATTTAGTAAACTTAGAAGAAAATTCCGTAGATAGTTTTACATCATAGAGAAAATACAGATATCTTGAATTAGTTGCCATCAGTATAAATTTGAGTTCATCTTTATGGCATTTAAAAAAAATCTTAAAGTTGAATGGGTTATTTGTGTTTTAAAGCAGTTGGCCTTATTATTGTAGTACAGTTCATCAGGGTTGTGTGGGATTTTGTGGAGAGCAGAATAATTTACTAGATTAGGAGAAAAGTCAAGTGCCATTTACCTCATTATGTGAGAATCTTAGCATTTTAGGATGAGGAACCCTTTAGAAATATATTGCCCAGTGCTGTCTTTGTACAATCAAGGAAAACTGAGATCCATGCTAAGTGGATTCTAAGCTGTGCTGTGCGTGGATTGGAGATTTCCAAACCAATTTAGAGTTGCAAATTATTTGGCCCTACAAGTTGCTGGTCAGAAGTGACACTGGTTTTCTTACTGAGATGTTCTAGAGTTTGTATGTGCTCTTATTTGTGCATAAATGTGGATAAGCCCTGTGGGTGCTTCAGCTCTGGAGCTAGAATCTGAATTATTGATCTTTCTCTGTTGCCTCATCCCTTCTTTGGCTATTTGCAGGATGTTGAGTAACAGGGTGTGAGTGGGCAAAGCACTAACAAAATTGAAATGCTTCTTTGTGAGTCAGAAAATATGTGATGCACCTTGTCTTTATTGCATTTTTTTTTTAAATCCTCCTGAGAACATAGGGAAATGCAAGGAATCTTTAATTCATAGATGAGGAAACTGAGATTCAGAGATGTTAAAAAAAGGTGCTGTTTAGGAAGCCAGTAATAGAACTTTAAATTCCTATTATTTGGCTCAACGAATATTGAGACAAATAACATTAACATGGAGATTCGATCTGAAATACTCTCTGATCTTTATTGACAAACATTGTTTTAACAAATTTAAGAAAATGATATAAACTATGCCTATTTTTTCCAGCTTTAGCATCTTAAGTTAACTCACCTTCTCATTGCTGTTAGAATATGACTCATTGTGCTTCTCTTAAAATTATTTTTGCAAGAAAATATGATAACTTCATTTTTTATCAAATTGTGATTTTGTTCTTTTGTAAATTGACAGTCTTCATGGGTAACAGTGAAAAGATTTCATTTTCAGTTATTTTTATTGCATCCATTCAAACCAGAAGTTGACATGGTCAAGCCTGGCTTATTAATATTTTAAAAATAAATCTATACGTTAGAATGGACCACAATGGTTATGGACTTTATAGATTTATTTGGCTCATCTTCAACATAAGAATTTTTCTTTTTGCAGTACATTGTTTGACCTTCATACTCAACAGCAGTAATCTTGAATTCTTTCTATTTGCATCACTAAAAGCAGCATTTGTCGTTTGATATGTGTATTGCCAGACATGTGCTTAAAATGTTCTATTTTCTAAATTCAGAAGAAAGAAGCAGTACTCT